GAAGGAGGAGGAGGAAGGTGGAGAGAGAAGGGGGAATTGTCATTGGTCTTGCTGGTGTACTTCTTCTTCTTCTTCTTCTTCTTCTTCTTCTTCTTCTTCTTTACCTCTCCTCTGGTCTTTATCTCTTTGCAAGTGCTTTCATTTCTTTCGCAATTGGGTGGCATTGTCTTTCATTGTGAAGTTGCACTTGGGAAGTGACCAGGATCGTAACAGGGCCCTCTTCTGTGTCTTTTTGTCTTTTCTTCTCCCTGCTATCATCCTGTCAAACTTTTGTTTGCTGGCGAAGAGCAACCGAACTGACACCCCCCAGTATATATGGGCATTGATTTTGTGAGGGTAAAAAAAAAAATACAAAAAGGAAAAGAGGCAGAGAAAAGGGGAAGGGGATAACCACAGAGAAAAAATGGGAAGAAGAGAAAACAAAGGAAGACGAAGGGAAATCGAGTCTGGAATGCAGATGAAAGCATAGGAAAGGATAAGAGAAGCTTCAAAAATCAATCTGTCATTGACAATAGAGAGGACATACATTGTAAGAATGAGATGGATAAGACCATGGAAGACCTAGCTGAGCATTCTCAGTACGACAATTGCCACAATGGCGGGTAGTGAGCATGTCCACCAAACACTCCTGACAGATGGCATGTCAATTGGAGGCCAACATGACGGGAGAACGGGCACCACAACTGACCATGCATTCAGTGTAATGCCCATAGCTGCAAAATGGACGTACAGTGTCCGGATCCGGAGGGTGCATACAGTCAGGAAAGTAGGGACAGTCCTCCACACACATGGATGCAGAAACCATGTCATTGTATGATTGTAGTGATTGTGACAGAGACGATGACGGCTGCAGCTGGGCATTGATATATTGTATGGCTGCAGCACAGGGGCAGAGGAATGATTTTCAACATAAAATAGTGTAGACGGTTGGGTGTGGCAAGAAAAGAGCATCGTTATGTAAGAACTCAGTAACATCAGTCATGGCATGGACCACGGATCCGTTATCCAACAGCTCCAAGTGGTGAGAGGCATGTACAATGGCCAGATGTAGGATAGAGGACGAGACCACTTACCTGTAGGACTGCATTGTAAAGCTTCTTTCTCTGGTATAATTACCATCCTTTGCCTTTAGGCAGGGAAGATCAGCATCAAGCTGAATGGCAATTGCAAGAAAGTCTGACAGTGTATATAGCGGGCGGTTGAGCATGTGAAAGCAGATATTAGTTGCAGACAAACCACAGAGATTGGGGGGGATCTCAGGCTGGAATGCCGAATGCTGGCCAACAATTTGCGGATCTCCGAGATGGTGTTGCAAGCCTGAAATTTCCTGGCCTGTTTGCTGATCAGTCATTTGCAGATCACTTATGTGGTCTATGCCTTGCGGGGGAAAAAATTGCGGTTCAGTCAACTGATGCTGGTCAGCAATCTGCAAACCCCCCATGTGGTTTACACTTTGTGGGGCAATTTGCGATTCGGGCAAATCATGCTGCAACCCCTGGACAGTTGAGGCTACATCCTGAGTATGGATTACCCTCGGAATTGGGAGTGTACCTGTCATGCGGGTGACTCATGGATATCCAATGCTGCAGGGCATAAAACATGCCCTCCTGACTGCCTGCATGAAGCTGGATTGTCTGCAGGGGGCATAGGAGCGTATATTGTTGTTTGGAACAGAGAAACTGCAACAACCTGTAGAGTAGGCACTGAGAGAATCGGGCAGACAAAGAAACAGGGTTCTGATCCTCAGACGAGCGACGATGTGGTGCATGCCGTCGATGATACACAATAGTAGTGGAGTGGCAAGCCGAAGATGAGCATGTCTCCGGCAATGAAGATGGAGCAATGGGAACAACAGGAACAATAGGAACATCAGATTCTGTTCACAAGTGAGGCTTTGGAGGAGACGGGGTGGTCATCCGTGGCCAAGCACAGAAAGAGATGAGATGGGGGTTGATTGGGCAAGTGTTCGAAATAAAGGATGTGACTGTTGGAGAGCCTGTGCTGTTCTGTGGACTGAAATTGTCGCGAAGGACGCTATAGCAGCAAAAACTACGGTAGGGGGAATTCCAACTGTGGAAACTGCTGTGGTGAAAACTGCAGTAGAGGAAACTGGAGCAACGGAAATTACAGCAGGGAAACTGCAGTGGCAGGAGCTGCAGCAGCAGAAGATGAGCAAAAAAGTAAGTGGATGGTACAGGGACCATCACATCAAGCTTCGGAACCACTGGAGAGAAGCGTTACATGTGTAAGACAGCTGCGCTGGTGGGAGCTCATGTAGCAGGTCCACCCCTTACAAGGGTCGATGGGGGATGTCGACTAGAAAGCATGTGGTGAGTAAGTGTTGGTTCCGCAGTTCAGAAGTCCCGCCAATTGTTCAACACTTGTTACATCTTGTCAATTGCCCAGTGAGAACACCAGCCGGTTGATGGGAAGGGATGTTAGAGGCTGCACCTGGATAACGAATGATAGGAAATCCCAGGCAGCCGGTTTATCGAAGACACTAATGCAAAGCGATCCATCAAAGTGGACCCGTAGTTGCATACCTGAAAAGGTACATGAGCCATTTGGTGCTGGAGTTTCCTTCCACTCAAGTCCGTAGTGCTCTGCTGGAGGAGGTAATTGGCCCCATGAAAGAACATCAATGAGGCAATCAGTCAAAGCATATTGCTGAACGGGTTGAAGATCATGTTGAGAAATGTCATCAGCAAAGCACGCTTCATCCAAATATAGCGTCAGATTAGAAATTGTTGGGCCAGCATTAGTACTCGTTGAAATACCGAGAATTGGTTTTCGTGGCGTGCCATTGCAGGGAAATGAGCAACTCGAATGACAATAAACCAGATTGCATTCCATATGCGAGGGTTTATGCCTCGGCATAGGGCCCTGCAGCAGGCGCGTGCCCGCCCTAAGTGACCCCCCCCCCCCCCCCCCCCCCCCCCCCCCCCCCCCCCCCCCCCCCCCCCCCCCCCCCCCCCCCCCTCCCTCTGAATCTCAATGCGCCCTGAACTCGTCAATTTTTGCAAATCTTGGTCGGCACCAGACAGTTGCCACGCGCTAGTTGGTTACAATCCGCCTTGCTCGTGAGAATCCAAAATATTCGTGAGCCTTCTAGGCTCTTCCAGCAACGTGGTCGAAGCAGGGAGCATCGCACGTTTGTGCCTGGGTCGTTGGGCATGCCTAACCAATTCGGTCCAAGGCCACTGTCTGAACTGGGCCTGGGCGCAGACACTTTGGCCACGACTGAAGCGACTTGAAACTCGGTCTCACGTGAGTGTGGCAAAAGGCAAGCGCCCGCCTCTTTCCATGTAGGAAAGGGCAGGGCGTAGGGATGGACATTCGGGCAGTGGTGTGCAACGCGGCAGCGCTGCTAGAGCAAGTGCTCGCGGCCAAGGCTGTGCGCTAACGCAGGTGCTGGGAGGTGCGCGCGTGTGGTACGTGTGAGCAGGGCACTGCTGAGGGCAGCTCCATAGCCAGCCCATCCATAGCCAGGCTCGGCTTGGACGGCCAGCGGAGGTGGTGGTGATCTTCGTGCATGAGGGAGAAGACGTGGGTGAGAAAGTCGAGGGTGAGAGAGAGAGAGAGAGAGAGAGAGAGATGAGTTGATGATGTGAGGGCACGCACCTGGTCTTGCGATGGTCTACGAGGGTTGACATCTTCATGTACTTCGGTTCGGCTGCTGACGTCAACAGGATGCATTGTCAATTCGTAGGCTGCTAGTAAGCTGTGTGATCGTAGTCTGGGCGCTGAGCGCCAAGTAGGAGGAAGGACTCTGGATACATATGTTGGTGGTGCCAAGAGTATGCTCTCATTGACATTCGGATTCAGTGCTTTGGTTCTCCGTTGGTGGAATATCAGTATCTTACTGCTCTCTAGACAGCGTTTGAATTTGCTGGCTTTCCATGTGATTCTGCACTCTGGATTTCTGTCATTTCGCTATATCTCATTTTCCTTGCAATTTGGTATCAAAGCTGGTTCAAGCCCGCTCCGCTGGCTCCTTCGCAATAGCTGTTTGGTGCTTCGCTGGTCAGGTGTCTTCTCTCATCCAAGTGTGTCTCCTGTCTTCCCCCAAATGTTTCCCCCTGCCTCCCATCTCCACTAGCAGCTATGGTATCTCCTCACTATTATGTCCACCTCAATCGGATTCTGCAACGCTAGTGAGACACATCATTTATTTGAACACCACTCATTTTGCCATTGCCTGAAAGTTATCCTTTTTTTTTAATTTTTTAACCTTTTCTTTTCTTAACAGTTTTCGTGAAGTTGAAATATAAGTTACATGCTTACAATTGTGCTGGTGCTATTCTGAGAGCTGCTCCTGGTCCCTTATGACTGGGAACCTTTCTGCTTCATTGGACATCCAGCGTTTTTGCAGATGAACCCTCTTTCTTGTGTACCCCTGTTTATGTCACCAAACAGGCGTAGACCATAAACAGGGTTGTCCTGCGGGACATCTGTCGAAATTGGAACTACACCAAGAAGATTATCATGGTCTCTGCCTAAGGATGACAAACACACACATCGAGAAATGGAAACTGTCAACAAGGTTTGTCTGCAAAATCCCTGTTTACGTCACCATGTCACTCTTTTTCTGCCGGTCCTTGTTGTCAATACGAACTCAGACCTTGAGACGACAACATGCAACAGCAAAGAACCAACAACAAAGTATAGGTTCTTCCAAGACTGGTGTTCCTCATTGTGGATCTAGCACAAATGTATAAGCATTCCATGGTACATACATCCTGTTTTAGAATAATTCCAACAACCCGCCACGCACCCAGTACGTGATTTCAAACAGGCTTGGATAGGTGAAGAACTCAAGAAAGGGAAATCCAGTGGTGACGTTCATAATGCCTCACTTCTGGTTTCTGTGCCATGCTGTCAAGAGTTACTACAGAAACAGGAAAACTGTTACACTTCAAAACCGAGAAACTGAGTGCAAACCCGGTGTTTCGTCTGTGTACTCCTTGTGCTTCTGTATTGCTTCCTTATCCAATGTGCAGCTGACGTCGATGACTACAATGTCCAGCTAGCTGTTGGACAATGCCCGGAATTGTGCATTCACATTGTTACACCCAGGCAGAAGTCAGTGCTGGAGAGTTTGCTTGGAAGGTGTGTGCCTCATTAGCCAGTTCCTTTCTAAAATGCACTTGGTTCAGCCCCCTCTGTGTGTGTGTGTGTGTGTGTGTGTGTGTGTGTGTGTGTGTGAGAGAGAGAGAGAGAGAGAGAGA